CAAACTGTTTGCCATTTTCATTCTCACTAGCGATGTACAAGGGTTGCAGTTGCTCCACATTCTTGCTAATACTCAGTATTGTTAGTACTCATTATTATTAGTCTTTTTAATTTTAACCATTTTAGTGGTTATGTAGTGGTATCTTGTGGTTTTAATTTGCATTTCCCTAATAACTAATGATGTCATGTATCTTTTCATGTGTTATTTGCAATCTTTCCATAAAATTGCCCATTAAAAACTTTGGATTGTCTTACTGAATTGTATGGATTTTTAATATATTCTAGATACAAGTCCTTTACCTTTATGTTTTGTAACATTTTCCTCCCAAACTGTGTCTTGATTGTTTTTTTTAATAAACTTTTTATTGTAGAACAGTTTTAGATATACAGAAAAATTGAGAAGATAGTGTAGGGAATTCCTATATAACCAACACCTAATTTCCCCTATCATTAACGTCTTACATTAGTATCATGTATTTTTCACAGGTAATGAACCTATATTGACACATTATTATTAAACAAGGTCCATACTTCATTCAGATTTCCTTAGTTTTTACCTAATGCAAAACCCTTTTTCTATTCCAAAGTGTTTTTCACCTAAGATTATTATATTTTTTATCTTTAGAAGTTCTATTTATTTTGGTGAGGAAGATTGGCCTTGAGCTAACAGCTGTGCCAGTCTTCTTCTGTTTTGTATGTGGGATGCCACCACAGCATGGCTTGGTGAATGGTGTGTAGGTCTGTGCCCAGGATCCAAACCCACGAACCCCAGGCCACCAAAGTGGAGTGCATGAACTTAACAACTATGCCACCGGGCTGGCCCCTATCTATTAGTTTATAGATTCCTTTCTTTCCTCCGTATCCTCATGTTTTCTTATACCTACTTGAACATATAGAATGTGTTTTATGAAAGCTAGTTTAACATTGTTAGCTAACATAAGAATATTTGCTAATTCTATCATCTGTGTCATTTCTGGGCCTGTTTTCATTGTTTGATCATTTCTTCTGGTTATAGGTCATATTTTCCTGCTACTTTGTGTGTCTGGTCATGTTTGGTTTTATACTAAATGTTGTGAATTTACATTTTTGGGAGTTGGATATTGTATTTCTTCAAATATTGTAGGACTTTGTTCTTGGACACTGTTGTTAGTTTAAATAAGTTTGATCCTTTTGAGGCTTACCTTAAAACCTTGTTAGTGCAGGTCTTAGGGTAGCCTTGTTTCTAGGGCTACTTTGGCCCAACTCTTGAGGCGTTACCTCCTGAGACTTTCCCTGATATCCTCTCTCTGGCTGGTGGGAACGTGACCTATCCTTCCCAATGTGTGAGCTCCAGAAATTGTTCAGCTTACTGTTTTCCAGAGGTTCTTTCTTTGGCCTTGGTAGTTTCCTCACAAGTATATGTGGACTAATACTTATTTAAAGACTCAAGGCCCCTCTGCGTCTCTGGAGTTCTCTCTGTCTCTTTCTCTCTCTTCTTTGTACCCTGTACTGTATATTCTAGCCTTCCTGAACTCAGAACTGTATCTCCTCAACTCTGGAAGAACGTTGGTTCTTTTTTGGGTTCCTCTTCCCTGTACTATGGCTTGGAAAGTATCTCTTAGGAATTAAGTTGAAGTACCTGACTTGTCTCTCTTCTCTCAGGATCATAGCCCTGGGCTGGCCATTGAATGAAGTCTGTTTGTTTTATATATTTTGTCTGATTTTCTAGTTAGGACAAATATCTGTATTATGCCTTCATAGTCAGAAGTAGAAGTTCACTAGAGACACTTTTGAAGTTATAAATATATTTTGAAGTAGGAGAAATATTTTTGAAAAAAAAATTGCTTCTCAGATATCTTTTGATTTTGTTATATACTTTTTTCTTATGTATTTTTAAAATGTCAATTTAAATCATCATACAGGAGTAATTTTTAGAGTAGGTTAGTTTGTTCAGTTCGTGATTTTTAATTTGATGTATGTTGAAATTAATTTTGTAGAGCCAATTAGTTGATACATTTCATTTCAAGGATTGTTGAGATGGTGTATATACTATACAATTGTGATCTTTTATGTGTATTTTGGGAATTACTAAATATTGATGCTTTACATTTTTCTCACACTTCAGTTCCTTTCTCACATACTTTGAAGGATATGCATGATGAGGCAAGGGAGGTTATGGAATGTAAAAAAAACCCTTGTAATATGGTGATAATTTATTTGTGCTTACAATCTCTCTGTTCTGTGCTATAGAGACTTCTGATCTGGATTTTTATACTTTTTAATATATGAAATAATCCAGGACAAGAATTCAGTCTTCATCTATTTTAAGCCATAATCTTAATTTTTTTTTGTCTTTTTTCTTAAAGATTGGCACCTGGGCTAACAACTGTTGCCAATCTTTTTTTTTTTTTCTGCTTTATCACCCCAAACTCCCACCCCGTACACGGTTGTATATCTTAGTTGCAGGTCCTTCCACTTGTGGCATGTGGGACGCCGCCTCAACATGGCCTGATAAGCGGTGCCATGTCTGCGCCCAGGATCTGAACCCTGGGCCGCCGCAGCGGAGCGCGTGAACTTAACCACTCGGCCACGGAGCCGGCCCCCCATAATCTTTCTTTAGTGTGATCTCTTTCCTAAGATTTAGTTGTGAACTGATTTAGTTAGAATTTTCACTTAGAAGGCCTTTTTCAAACTTATTACGCCTAATTATGCACACTCTTCCCTCCATGTTGTAAAATGCTTTTTTAAATTAATGGTTGTATTTATCTCCCAACTTTGAAAATTCTGGTCTTTTTCTCTCTCTCTCTTATTTTCTTTTCCTGCTGCTATCATTCCATACTAAGAGTTCAATATTGCAAGCCTACATTGTAAAATAGCCTCCACTTTATTCTCTCTGATTTCAGTCTCCTCCCCTTCCTTTTCATAAAATATATGAATGTCAGTTTATGTTTGCTTGACCAATATGCCCATGTTGACTTTCTTGTACTGAAAACTTGACTGGATTCTCACTGTTTTCACAATCGAGTCCAGACTCTGGTGAGTGGTGTGGAGCAATCTCCATATTTGGCTCCAGCCAGCCCTTTTGGCTGAATGTGTCTTCTGTGACTCTGACACTTTCCTGTCGCCTACATATTGCTCACATCACATCCATCAACTGGAATTTTCTAGCCTCCTGACTAGCTTTTGCTCTTGTTTTACATCCTTCAAGAAGCCTATTAACTTCTCCATCTCATAGTAGGCCATTTCCTTTTGAGTCCTCAAAGTATTTATTATCTGTATCACTCATTTTCTGTTTAATTATGTAACTCTTTTTAATTTTCCACCCTTTGATCTTATTTTTAAAATTCTATGGACAGCTAGATTGTCTAGCTGCATTAGGGCAAAAGCCCTTGTCTCAAATCTGTGACCTCTTTGCTTAAATTTTAGGTATGTATTAGGAATGCCGTAATGTTGTGGTCCGTTTTCCTTGGATCCGGCAGAAATCCATCTAACTAGGGACATTGGTAGGTGATTTTGGGCACTTGGTGATCTTTACGTAAATCCAGAATTGCCCTGGTTTCCTAGGTAATATTGGTGTTACCTTAGAACAGAGTTAATTTTCTGGATTAACTGAGCTTTCTGACTCAGATATTCTCTTGCATGTGGATATTTAGTTGTCTCAGCACCATTTCTGGAAAACACTATCCTTTCTTTATTGAATTGTTTTGCACTTGTTTCTTTATTGAATTGTATCCTTGTTGAATTGACCATAAATGTAAGGGCTATTTTTGGACTCTCAATTCTATTGCATTGATTTATATGTCTATCCTTAGTTATATGTCTATATCACACTGTCTTGATTACTTTTTTTTTTTTTTGTAGTAAGTTGTAAAACCTGGAAGTGTGAGCCCTCCAGTTTTGTTTTTCTTTTCAGGATTGTTTTGGCTATTCTGAGTCCCTTGCATTGAAATATGAATTTTAGGATTAGTTTGTCAATTTCTGCAAAAAAATGGCAACTAGGATTTGATAAGGGATTTTGTAAAATTAGATAAATTTGTGGGAGTATTGCCATCTTAAAGATATTAAGCCTTCTGATCTATGTACATGGATCTCCTTCCATTTATTTAGGTCTTTTTCCCCAACGTTTTGTAGTTTTCAGTGTACAAGTCTAACACTTCTTTTGTTAAATTTATTTCTAAGTATTTTATTCTTTATGATATTATTGTAATCTCACTTTTGGATCTTTCATTGCTAATGTATAAAAATACAATTGATTTTTGTATATTGATCTTGTATCTTGCGACCCTGTTGAATTTGTTTATCAGTTCTAATAGTTTTTTAGTGGAGTCCTTGGGATTTTTTGTATACAAGGTCATGTCATCTTCGAATAGAGATAATTTTACCTCTTCCTTTCCTATCTAGATGCTCTTTATTTCTTTTTCTTGCCTAATTATCCTGTCCAGAATATCCAGCATAATGTTGGATAGAAGTGGCGAGAGTGAACATTGCTGTATTGTTCCTGAGCTTAGGGGAAAATATTGTCTTTCATGATTAATTGTGATGTTAACTGTGGACTTTTTGCAGATGCCGTTTAACGTATTAAGGAAGTTCCCTTCTCTTTCTAGTTTGTTGAGTGTTTTTCTCATGAAAGGGTTTTGGATTTTGTCAAATGCTTTTTCCCTCTTGATATGATCATTTTTTTGTCCTTTATTTTATTAATGTGATGTATTACATTGAGTTTCAGATAGTAAACCAAACTTGCTTTCCTGGAGTCTCTTTTGTTCTTGGTGTATAATCCTTTTATGTTTTGCTGATTTGTTTTTCTAGTATTTCTTTGAGGATTTTTGTGTCAGTATTCACAAGGTATACTGGTGTGTAGTTTTTTTCCCTCATAATGCCTTTGTTTTGTTTTTGAATCAGGGTAGTATTGGTATCATACAATGAGTTAGGAAGTGTTCTTTCTAGTTTTTGGAACAGTTTATGAAGGATTGACATTAAATCTTCAAGACTAATGGTATTTTAATATTTGTTTTGATCTTTTAGGATTCTCCTTTTACAAATGCAGGAATGGGATCTAATCTAAATCTCTTGGGCGAAATTGAGTGTGATGCCAGCATAATGGATGGAAAATCATTAAATTTTGGAGCTGTTGGAGCACTGAGTGGTATGTGTACATTATAATGCACTCTCTCTATTCTTTAAAAAACTAAACTATGAATATTACAATTTCATGCTTCCTAAAGACTTAGTCCAATATTTTCCACCCTTCTTGCTTGGAATAGTGTTGAAAACAAACATTTTTTGTTTTACTAAATTTAAAACATGAAATCTTAGATACCAATAGTATTAAAGAAAACAGTGAAGTGACTTATGTCCAAGTCTTTGTTAGATTTTGATCATTCTCCTCCATCCCTTCAAGAGGTACAGACATTTAAAATGTGAGTTAGCATATTCAGTTACTTTTTTAGTTATTTGAAATACACAAATAATATATTTTTATTCTTAAGAAATTCAAATGAAGGGCGGGCCCCATGGCCAAGTGGTTAAGTTCGCACGCTCTGCTTTGGTGGCCCAGGGTTTCTCTGGTTTGGATCCTGGGCGTGGTAATCAAGTAATGCTGAGGCGGGCGTCCCACATAGCAGAGCCAGAAGGACTTACAACTAGAATATACAACTATGTACTGGGAGGCTTTGGGGAGATGAAGGAAAAAAAAAAAAAGATGGGCAACAGATGTTAGCTCAGATACCAATCTTTAAAAAAAAGATCAAGTGATATAAATAAAATTTACCTTTGGTGTTCCAAATCTTTCCTTCCCATCCTTTTCTCCTTGCAGGGTTTAACCAGTAAAATACAGTGCATTTATCCATATTTTTATGTAACAGAAAGAGTTTTGCACGTTTTTTCTTTTTAAATAAAGGTACATATTATTATGAAGCCTTCTTTTGTTCTTTAAATAGGATGTCTTTGAGATTTTTTTCCACATCAATACCTATAAGACATATCTAATGCTTTACAATTCACTTATTAAAGCAAAATACACATGAAATGCATAGATTTCAAGTATAAAGTTTCATGAATTTTTAGATGTATATGACCATGTAAACCACCCAGATCAAGGCATAAAACATTTTCATGTCAAAATATAGAACATTTTCATCATCCCAGAAGGGTTCTTTATGCCTCTTCCTAGTTTGTACCTCTTGTACCCTGCTCCTGTTCCTCCTTTTCCCCTAATCCTAACTTTGCCTGTTCCTGAAATTCATATGAGTAGAATTATACACCTCTGTCTCTGATTTCTATTGCTTAGCATTATACCTGTGTGATTGATCCATGTTTTGGGTCACAGTAGTTTTGTCCATTTTATTATTTAGTAGCATTTTATTGCATAAATATATAATAACTTATTTATATGTTCTCCTCTTAGTGGATATTTTAATAGTTTCTAGTTTTTGACTGATGAATAAAGCTGCAATGAATATTCTTGTACGTGTCTTTTGGTAGACATATGTACTTACTTCTCTTGGGTATAAACCTAGGATTTGGAATGATAAGTTTAGGTACATATATGCTTTGCTTTAGTAGATAACTGCTAGACAGTTTTCAAGAGCAAGTTGTTACAACCTGTACTCCCACCAGCAGTGTATAAGCCTTTCAGTTACTCTATATCCTTGCCAATGTTTCGTGTTGTTATTCTTTTTAAAATTCAGCCATTTTTATATGTGTGCAGTGGTATTATTCTTTTAATTTGAGTTTCCCTGGTGACTAATGATACTGAGAACCTTTTGATACACTTATTGAACTTATAGACATCCCTGTTGTGTAGTGTGTGTCTTTTGCATATTTTTTATTGGATTTTTATTATTGATTTGTCAGAGTACTTTTTATATTTTAGATACATATCCTGTGTCAGATATATGTCTTATGAATATCTCCTCCCAGTCTGTGGCTCACCTTTTCACCCTCTTAATGCTGTCATTTGATAAACTGAAGTTTTTAATTCTAATGAGCTTCAAGTTACCAACCACTTACTTTATGGTTAATTGCTTTTGTATTTTGTTTAAGAAATCTTTGCCTACCCAAAGTTAAGATAGATAGTCTCCATCATTTTCTTTTAGTAGTTCTATTGTTTTTTATGTTTCACATTTAACTCTCTTATCAAGCTCAGGTTAGTTTTAGTGTATGTGAGGTAGAAGCCGATATTAATTTTTTTCCTCTTATGAATATCCAAATGATTCATTGCCATTGTCAATAGAAGGGACAATCCTCTCCTCACAGAATTGTGTTGGCAAATCAGGTGACTGTATGTGTAATTGTTTGTTTCTGTACCCTCTATTCTATTCCATTGATCTATTTATTTCTAGTGCCACACTGTTTTGATTACTGTAGCTTTATAGTCTTTATATTTAAGAATATAAATATTTATATTCTTGATGTCTGGTAGTATAAGAATTCCAACTTCCCTTTTTTTTTTAAGATTATACTGGCTATTCTAGATCTTTGGCATTTTCATAAAACTTTCAGAATCAACTTGTCAATGTCCATAATAAAACCCTGCTGGGATTTTGATTGGTATTGCGTTGAATGCATAGAACTATTTTTGGACAATTGATGTCTTAACAATATTGAATCTTCCAGTCCACAAACATGGAATATGTATGTGTATATATATATATATATATATATATATACACACATATATACAAATATATACATATATATCATTCATTTTTCTCAGCAGTTTTATGATTTCCACAAATATATACATATATATCATTCATTTTTCTCAGCAGTTTTATGATTTCCAGTATAAATCTCATATATCTTTTATTAGATTTACTCTAGATATTTAGTATTTTTTGGTGCTGTTATAAAGTATATATATTTAAAATATCAATTCTAATTGTTTTATTGTATTTAGAAATACAGTTGAGTTTTGTATTTACTTGCCTTGATAAATTCACTTATTAATCCTAGCATTAAAAAAATATAGATTTCCATGGAGTTTCTATATACACAATCATATCACCTGTGAATCATGGCAATTTTGGTTTTTCCTTTCCAATATTTAAATTTTTCATTTTTTCTTGCATTATTATTCTGGCTATGACATCCAGTGCAATGTTGAATGTAAGATAGTGTACGTCCTTGCTTTGTTCCTGATTTTAGAGGGAGAGCATTAAATATTTCACCATTCTGTATGCTGCTAGCTGTAGGATTTTCAGATGCTCTTTATCAGATTGAGAAATTTCCCTTCTGATCTTAGTTTGCTGATAGTTTTTATTATAAATGGATATTGAATATCATTAAGTGCTTTTCTGCATCTTTTGAGATAATAGATTTTTCTCCTTTGTTTTGTTACATATGAAATTTCTGATAAATTTTTTAATGTTCCCTTCTTGGCATAAAGTCTTCTTGGCTATAAGTTTTTATCTTTTTATATTCTGCTGGATTTGATTTGCTGATGTTTAAGATTTTGACATCTATGTTTATGTAGTAGGTTGGCCTTAATTTTCCTTTCTTATAATCTTTTCAGGTTTTGGAATCATGTTATGGCTGGCCTCATGAAATGAGGATTTTTTTTCTTTATTTTTTGAAAGAGTTTGTGTATGATTGGAATGTTTCTTTTTAATTGTTTGGAAGAATTTATTAGTAACTCTAAATTATTGGAGCTTTCTTTGTGGGACCTTTAAAGAATGGAATTTGATTTCTTTGACAGTTATAAGACTATCTGTATTTTCTTTTTCTCTTGTGTGTTTTTCAGGGAATTTGTCTTTTTCAGATGACTTGTCAAATTTATTTACCTAAAGACTTTTTGGTTAGCTTTTTTTTGTTGTTGATTTCTTGTTTAATTTCACTGTGGTCAGAGAACATGCAGTGTATGATTCTAATCCCTTGAAGCTTTTTGAGACTCTCTATATGGCCCATGGTGTGTTTTGATAAATGTTCGATGTGAACTTCAAAAGAATATGTATTTTGCAGTTGTTGGGGTGTGTTCTATATATGTCAGTTAGGTCTATTTGGTTATTCATTTGTTCCAATCTTCTATATCCTTTCTGATTTTTGTGATAGGTTAGAATATGTCAATCAGTTCTAATTTTAATTTCTTATATTAGGAAATTTTATTGGCATTTAATGAAATTTCGTATGTTTAAAGGCCATTAGCATTTCTTTGTGACCTGACTGTTCATACCTCTTGTGTGGCTTGCCTTTTAACTGTATTTATATTTTGCTTTATTATGTTGGAATTTAAAATTTTTATTTCTCAAACATTACTTTCTCTTTTGTGACTTTTGTATTTTGCATTTCTTAAGGTTTCTCTCTCTTGTAATTATAAGCATAGTCACCTATATTTTCTTCTAATATGTGTATAATTTATTTTTCATTTGCCTCTTGAGTGCATTGTTTGTTTTTCCTGAAGTGACCAACTAATTGTCCCTACATAATTTATTGAATGACAATAATAACAATAATAACTACCATTTATTGAGTGACTATTACATACTATTCATTGTTCTCTAGTAGTTTATATATATTAAATCATTAAGTTCTCACAGTAACCTTATGAGGTCAGTACTTTTATCCTATTTTACATATGAGGAAAGTGAGACACAGAAGAGACTAAGTAATTTGTCCAAGGTTACTGTCTCAGTCTGAGTCAAACTAGAAGACCTTAACCACACAGTAGTTTAAATAGGAGAAATTTAATATAAAGAATTATTAAACAGTGATAAGAGAGTAAATATAAAGATAGAGAGAATTCAAAGTGTATCCTAAGACAGAGGCAGAAGACCCAAGAAAGGATCCGCTTAGAAGGGATTTCTGACCTTGTTGAAGAAAGTGTGGTTGCAGCCTACTGTCTGGCAGAGAAGTTGCTGGGTTACCTGTGCCACAGTCACTGTGAGAGCAGGAGCATCCTGTGGGGCAGAGGGGAGCGCTGGTAGGTGGGCACACAGAAGTCAGGAAGCTATGGGAATTAAACCTCTGTTGCACAGGATAAAGATTGGGTTTTTGGCTCACTGGAGAGCCGTCCCCCTGGGAACACTTTGCCATGTGTGCCTGTGGAGCTGAGGGGAAGGTATAGAGATCAGTGACTTGAGCTAGGCACAGTCCCCTTCTTTCTGGGGCTTTCAGCTGTGTTGCTATGGCCTGAATCAGGAGCTGGTGTGGTGGCCAAATGCTGGAGAAAGCTGCACCCTGCGGGCACTTAGCACTGGAGAATACCATGTGGGCTAACTAGTGGAGAAAAACTGGTGCTTTCTAGGAGCCTGGCTAGCAAGCCACCCTTTCCTCCTGCAGTGTATCTCCAGAGCCCTCTACTGACAAGGCTTACCAGTGTGCCCGCTGACAAAGGAAACATATTTAAAGGGCCCATATCCATTTTTGCAGATCAGGCAACGAAGGGTGGATTTGTAGATGAGAAGCAATAAATTGGTAGCAGGCACACTTATAGAACAGTCTGACTCCCATGACTGTGTGTTCTTTCTACTTCTCATATATAGCCTATCCTTTTCCTACTCATTTGAAATGCTATCTAGATCATGTATTAAATATCTAAATTTACGTATGTCTGTGTCTGAACTGTAGCTTTATTCTGTTACATTGATATATTTGTCTATTTTGTACCCAAACCACACTCTCTTAATTGAATAGCTTTTAATAAGAAATGGTATCTTGGGGCTGGCCTGGTGGTGAGTGGTTAAGTTCACGCAATCCACTTTGTCAGCCTGGGGTTTGCAGGTTCGGATCCTGGGTGCAGACCTAGTACTGCTTATCAAGCCACACTGTGGCAGCATCTCACATAAAATAGCAGGAAATTGGCACAGATGTTAGCTCAGTGACAGTCTTCCTCAAGCAAAAAGAGGAAAATCGGCAACAGATGTTAGCTCAAGACTAATCTTCCTCACAAAAAAAAATGAAAATAAAAAAGAAATAGTATCTTTTAGGGTGAATGCTTTTTCACTGTTTTTCAAAGTTTTCTTTTCCTGATGAATTTAAGAGTCAGCTTGTCATACATAATAGAAATCCTTTTGAAGTTTTGATGGAGAATGTATAGATTTGAATTTATATTAATTTGACAATTATTTGGCAATGATACAATATTGAATTGTACAATATTGAATCATTGAATATTAAATATACAGAAATATATTTTAAGAGCTAGTACAGAGATCTGAGCTTTTCTTTCCTTTGGTGTCTCATACTTGTTTTTGAGACAAGCTTTTTGTATTTAGCTAAGAAACTACTTACTTTTGTTTTACGTCAATCTGTAGTCTTAATTTGAGTTTTAATAGTCTTTTTGTATCCCACTACTGATTTCTTTTTGTATTAATAGTGTCCTGAGAGGCATCCATAGGTTAGTGGTTAAGGGCGTGGTCTCTGACATTAGCTGCCTCTGTTAAAATCTCAGTGCTGTGATCTTGGACAGGTAATTTACACCTCTGTGCAAATGTTTCCTCAGTACCCAGAGTTCTTAAGTGTACTTATATGATGGAATTGAGGGATCGATTAAATAATCTGATACATTTAAGGGTTTGGTGCTGGGTCTGGCACATATTAGATACTAAGTTATGGTCACTATCTTCTATCATCATCATCATCATTGTCATTGTGACAATGTTTTTCTCACCAATACTTACTATCCTATTGTTCCTCCCAAATAAGCACCCTCTTCTCACTTTTCACATTCTTTTTTCCTTCCTGGAAACAATCTGAACCATATTTTAGGTTATAATCTTGTGTGTACCTGGCCTCTTCTCCCCACCCTTACCTAGTTTGAAGAATTTTCTCTTGGTTCTGTCTCTCTTGCAGGTGAGATTTAAAATTTTTGGCCATTAATTTTTCTTTCCAAGGTAAATTTGAAGCTGTTTGTAATCATGTTTATTCTTTAGAGAATATTTGTGGTTTTGATAGTAGATGCCATATTTTCAGTTCATTTTTTTTATTCTGTTCTGAAATCTATTAAAAAGGAACCTAATTTAAATATGTATTATTTCAAATTCAGTCTTTGCTACTGTAGCACATGACAAAACATGAGAATGTATGTTTTATATTTGTTCTTTTCTTGCATCTACTAGGTATTCATGTGTTTGTTGATTTGATCTGTATTTTTCATGATAATTGTTTTCATATATAAAAGAAGACTTTTCCAGGATATTTGAAGGTTGTTTTATTGAAATAGTCACAAAACTGAGTGGGAAACTTGACATTTTCTGACTTCATTTTATGCCAATTTTATTTCATAGGAATCAAGAACCCAGTCTCTGTTGCAAACAGACTCTTGTGTGAAGGGCAGAAGGGCAAGCTCTCCGCTGGCCGAATTCCTCCCTGGTAACGACTTTGTTCTGTCTGACTTTCCCTGGATATTTGGTCTTTGGTGCATGCAGTGTTTGAAAGATATTTTTATCCACAGAAGTCTGATGCTGTTGGTTACACACCAGCAGTACCTTGCCTTTGAGAGGACGACACACTTTGTTCTGTCATCCTGGAGCATTTTATATACTTGATAGGACTGAATGGAATAAAATATTAGGAATTAAAGCAGAAAAGAGATCAGAGTTAATTTTTGGTTTTGTAGTTGATTATAGAGATGTTTTTGCTATTACTAAGTGCTCAGTTGGGGTCTTTTTATTATGAAATTTTAAAAGTATCTTACACATTTGAGTCCAGAGTTGAAACCAATTTTTAATTTTGAGAAGTTCTTAGAATAAAAGTACTTACTTTTTCTCTTCTGGAAAAAAACATCGTGACACTCAGATTAGTAAGATTATATCTTTTCTCCAGCATTAACGTATAATTTTCATTAAAAAAATTTGTAACTTTTCAAATATTTATAAAAGTAGAGAGAACGTTGTGAAGAGCCCGCATGGACCTGTCATCCAGCTCCAATAATTAACAATGTTTTTGCTCTTCATCTATCACATGCATCTCTCTTTTTTCCTGTAGTATTTTAAAGCAAATCCTCAACGTCATGTAAATAGTTTTATAGATTTCTCTCTGTTTTCAAAAACTTAACTACCATCCTCTTAGCATGCCTAACAATATGAACAAATATGCCTCAATACGGTTTCGTAGTCAGTATGCCTGGCTGTGAAGTCTCATAGTCAGTTCAGCATGCCTGGCTGTGAAACTTACATTAATGTTCTGTGTGGAAAAATGTGACAACAGTGCTGTAGGAATCACTTTATTTGGCTGTTAAAATTTGAAGTCACAGAAAGTAAATTAATATAGTTTTGAAACATCTTGAAACCTTCTACCTAAATATATTCAAGATATCCTTTTAATCATATACTTCTCAGGTGTAATTGTGGTACTGAAATGGTAAATTGTAAAAAAAATTTCAGAGAAATACTAGATTTTAACATGTGTTTTCAGTAAAGCAAGGATAGGGAAAAGCAAATCTGATTTCTTGAGACATTTCTAGTATGTATTTGGTTGATATCAATAAATTTACTTATAACTCTGAAAGTAGGAAAACTGATTAAAGGATTCTTACATATTCTTTTCTCATAATTTATGTTAAACCTATGCTATTTTGTTTAACTGGTATGAAGTCTACCAACCCAAAATTTACTAAGTGTCTGTTTAGTACATACACAAAGTCCTACTATCCATACCTTTTTAGGGGACTAATAGGTGCAAACAGATTGTCTCTGGATTTATATTCTCCTCAATGTTGATTTAGATGTGACAGTTTCCTTTCACCCATATTTGCTATTATACGTAAAGCGAAAGTAACCCTTACTAAACCAATTTAGAAGACACATGCCCAGTAGGAAGGAAACAATGCAGTTGTTTTAGTTGACAAGAAAAATAACATTAACCCTGTGAAAACTATTTTAAAGTTCACCTACAAACCTACCATAATGCCATTCTTACCACTCCTCATGACATTTACCAAGCTGATTCTCAAATTTATATGGAAGAACAAGTGTACAATAATAGCCAAGACAATTTTGAAACAGATCAAAGAGTTGGACTTATCTAATAGCTGTTGTGATACTTTATAGTACTATAGTAATTAAAACATTGATTTAGGTATGGGGATATAGAAAAAGATCAGTAGAACAGAACTAGAAGTCCCAAAGTGGACCCAGTATGTAAGTAAATTTAGTCTATTGTAACAGTGCCGTCTCAAAGCATTGTGAGGAAAAAGGATAGTGTAGTAAATAAATTGCTTTGGGACAATTGGGTACCTTGTGGAAAAACATTAATTAGTTCCTTTGTCACACCATTGGAAAAAATAAAGTTCAAATATGAAAGTAAAAAAGCATAGTATAGGGCCGGCCCCATGGCTAAGTGGTTAAGTTTGCGCACTCCGCTTTGGCAGCCCAGGGTTTTGCCAGTTTGGATCCTGGGCACGGACATGGCACCACTCATTAGGCCACACTGAGGCGGCATCCCACATACCACAGCTAGAAGGACCCACAACTAAAATATACAACTATGTACTTGGGGGATTTGGAGAGAAAAAGCAGAAAAAAAAAAGATTGGCAACAGTTGTTAGCTCAGGTGCCAATCTTAAAAAAAAAAGCCATAGTGTAGAATTTTAGGAAAAAATATGGGAGATTATGTTTATGAGTGTGGGGTGACAAAGACCTTATTAAGACTAAAAAATAAGGCTAAATATTGAAACGTATGAAAGTGAAAATGTAGAGCTATTAGACAACCGAAGATACTGTGATCTGAATTAAAAGAAAGTATGGCCTTTGGAACTGAGAAAAATTATTTGTAGTATAGGTAGGAAACAAAAGATTAGTATTCATAGTGTTAAAGAACTGTAAAATATCAAGAAAAAGATAACCTACACTTTAAAAATTGGTGAATGATACAACTAGGCAATTTATTGAAAAGAAAATTGATAGTGTATAAATATACAAAAAGGTACCCAATAATAATATTAATGAAGAAATTGTGAATTAAAATGACAAGATGATATTTTCACCTTATGTAAAGTAGCAAAATTAACAAAGACTAATAACATCCAATATTGTCGAGGGTATGGAAAAACAGGTTCTTTGTTATAATGGTGGTGGGAACATAAATTGCTATAGCCAGTTGAGAAAAATTTTGATATTATTTATTAATGTAAAAAATGGAAAGAGCCTAGCCTGGTGGCGTAGTGGTTAAGTTTGTGTGTTCTGCTTCAGTGGCCTGGGGTTTGTGGGTTTGGATGCTGGGCGTGGACCTGCACACCGCTCATCAAACCATCTTGTGGCAGTGTCCCACATACAAAATAGAGGAAGATTGGCACAGATGTTAGCTTAGGGCCAATTTTCCTCACCAAAAAAAAAGCAAAAAAAGGAAAATGCACATGGTGTGTGCTGCAGCAATTCTATCTTAAGACAGAACACCTTCACATGTACACAGGAAGGCTTGTGTAGCACAAGGTTAGAGCAGTGTTTCTTGTGGTGTTTAAAATTGTAAACAACCTGAATGTCCATCAATGGCTAAATTGTTTTCTAGCCATATTATTAAATACTTGGCAGCATAAAAAAAAAAGAGAGAAGGGCCAGCCCCTGTGGCCTTATGGTTAAGTTTGGCACACTCTGCTTTGGCAGTCCGGGTTCAGTTCCCAGTTATGGACCTACACCACTTATCTGTCGGTGGCCGTGCTGTGATGGCAGCTCACATACAAAACAGAGGAAGATTGGCAACAGATGTTAACTCAGGGCAAATCTTCCTCAGCAAAAAAAGAGGGAAACATTTGTATATAGTAATGTGGATAGATCTCTACATTGTAGAGTAAAAAAATCAAGTTGTTTAATGACGTGTTCAGTTTAATTTATGTTTTCTTAAAAAATTACAAAACGATATGATGAATACCTGTTTCTCATCACCCAGGTTAGGAAATAAAACATTAGCAAGAGATTTGAAGCTGCCTAGATTGAACCTTTTCTAATGGCATCCCTGTCCTTCCTCCTGTCCCACACTCTTTCACTGACCCCATCTCTGCCCCTGCCCCTAGGTAACAGTTGTTTTGAATTTAAGCTTTTCTCATTCCCATATATTTCTTTGTAATATTACAATGTATACAATATTCTAATTGTCTAAGACTACATAGATATACAAAAAAGATCTGGAAATAAGGCTACCAAACTCACTGTGATTATTTCTGGGAAAGAGGAAGGAGAGGACAAAGTGAGGCAATTGTCAAAGGGGACATGTGCAATACTTTTATGTTTTACAAAGAAAATACATGGGAGAAAGTGATGGCCACCTTCCCATTAAAATGATATCGTATAATGATGCTACACTTGTCTGGAACTAGTTATCTGATTTTCTCACATATATAGTTCTTCATCTTTATTCTTTGTTGTTTTGACCATTTTAGGCATTTTGCGTTTCCATATGAATTTTAGGATTAGCCTGTCAATTTCCATAAATAGCCCACTGGAATTTTAATTAGGATTGCAACATATCCATTTATTTAGTCTTAAAGTTCACTGAACAGTGTTTTATAGTTTTCAGTGTACAGGTCTTGCACAGCTTTTATCAAATTTATACTTAAGTATTTCATTCTTTTTGATGCTATGATGAATTGCATTTTTAAAAAGTTCATTACCAACATATAGAAATATGATTGAGGGGCCAGCCCCGTGGCCGAGTGGTTAAGTTCGTGCACTGCACTTCGATGGCCCCGGGTTTCGCCAGTTTGAATCCTGGGTGCGGATGTGGCACCGCTCATCAAGCCATGCTGAGGCGGCATCCCACATGCCACAACTAATAGGACCCACAACTGAAAATACACAACTATGTACCGGGGGGCTTTGGGGAGAAAAAGAAAAAAACAAAATCTTTGAAATATGATTGATTTTAGTATATCAATATTCTATCCTGGGAATTTGCTAAATACATTTGTTCCAGAATTATTTTTATAGATTCCATAAGATTTTCTAGATAAACAGTCAATGTCTGCTGGAAATAAAGATAGTTTTACTTCTTCCTTTCTAATCTGGGTTCCTTTAAGTAATTTCTTTTTCTTTATTACACTGTCCAGGACCGCCAGTGCAATGTAGAATAGAACTGTGAGAGTGGACATTCTTATCTTGTTTGTGATCGTAGGGAGGAAGCGTTTGGTCTTTTACCGTTAGGTATGCCAGTTGCTGTAGATTTATCATAGATGCTCTTTATCATGTTGAAAAAGTTCCCTTCTTTTCCTAGTGTGCTGAAAGTTTTTAATATGAATAGATGTACTTTTTCAAGTGCTTTTCTGCATCCATTGAGACAATTTTATAATTTTTCTTAGTTAATGTAGTGATTGGTTGATTTTCAACTGTTAAAGCAACAATTGCATTCCATTTATCCTGGGATAAACTCCATTACGTCAT